ATAATTGAAAGTTGTTATTTTTTTCTTAATTCTTGAATTAAGTGTTTAAATTAATTGATAATATATTTATTTTAGATTTTATTTTATTATTAATCTTATTAAATTCTCTATTTCTAAATTATAAATTAATTATCTTATATTATAATAAATAAGTTTTTATTATTTTAATCACTTACGACAGATAAATTAGCAAATTGAACATTATTTTAATAATTTTTTTACATAAAAGTCCTAGCTTGAAATTGTAACACCTTGATTTAGCTTTTCCAAATAATTAATTTTTTGCAAAATTTTGGGAATAATAAAAATTTTCATTTAAACGGTTCCCAATACATGATTCAATAAAGTGTTTCAAATGAAGGAGAGTTACAAGTTTGCATTAAATAAATGCTACAGGACCAAATTAAATACATTAAATTTCAAAAATCAGTTTCCTAAGTCCTATAACAATTCCATCCCTCTGTTCACTGAGTCTGATGCTGATCGTCTTGGTCACCTGAAAAATAAATGTAAGGGTAAGTACTTTACACTATCAAACATAAGTATAGAGACTCACTTTACGCATTCCACAAATTTACTACTACAACTTAGTCATGCATCAAACAAGCATAAAACAATAATTTCAACATTTCATTCTCATTTACACACACAGGTGCGCTCACTGCACCATCAATCATTTTACACTCGTACGCTTACTACACGCTAGCCACACTTATTGTGGCACTGTGATCATAGATTCCTGATGCCCTCAACCTTAGTGACTTACTCAGTTTCACACCATGGATGATCGCTGGATAGGCACGCCTCACGGATACAACATGTGCGGACACGAGCACCTTGGCAAAGGTGTTAGTCAAAGGTCGAGTTAAAAGGAGAGTATGTGGCTTGTGGTATACCCACGCTCATTGTTGGTGTCACTGTTACTTTTACAACTGCTGTTGCACTGAAAGTAAACTGACTAGCAAGTGTACTAGTGTTGTTGTAGCAAGTTGTAAAAAAAAATCTTAGAATCAAATTGAGTTCCAAGTATCGTCCTCAGGGAATAAAGTTCTCAATTTCCACTTCACAATATCACAATTAGTTGAGCTTTACAAATTTCAGATGGATTTGGTATGAATGTATCAAAAAATGAAATTAGAAAGTAAAACAGAACGGTTAGTACAAAAGTATATAGTAAACAGATGTAGAAAAAGTAGTTAGGAAATTGTTTCACCAAAACTTCAACATTGAATCAATAAAGTTCTGAACTTTCAAGCATTTAGATGGAATGAATATCAGTTTCACGTTATATTAATCAAAGGACAATCCCTTGCCTCAATGAATCTAGCATCTAATCAAATCACTCTAATCCCTTAGATCTAATCCAATCAAATGCTGCATTAAGTTTGAGAAACCAAAAAATTGCAAGATTAAGATATCTTATCCCTAAGAAACCAATAACCTTGGTAATTAATTCAGATCTGAGAAACAAATTCAATTCCCATTGATAAGAGTTCCTCTATGATTAGTTGATCAAATTTTCATTCAATCACTACTTTAACAGCAGAATCAATCACTTAATCCAATCCAAAACTCAAAGTTCAGATCCAAAATCAATTCAACATTTCCATTTCAGATTCACAATTCCTAACCACAAAGAGTTTAGGCAAACATTACAAAAAGAGAAGAGAAGAGAAGAGGAGAAGAGAATGAACAAAGAAGAAACATCTTCAAGCCAATCTCCAATCTGATCCCTCAAGAAATGAAGCTTGGTGTTCGTCCTCAATCTCCCTCTCTGACTCTCTCAACAATAAAAACAAATGGAAAATAAAAAAATGAACAAAAACTCCCTAAATTCCTGAGCTAACTGCCTTTTATAGAATTCCCGCTCTGCTGGCGTGATCACTTTTTCCAGCAATAGTAATCACGCAGAGGCTAATTCTTCATTTTCACTTGCGCGTGTTCACTTTTGCTAGTGATAGTAGCCACGTGCACTTCAAAGTGTTCACTTTTGTTGAAAATAGTAGCCACGCAGAAGCTTCCCTTACTAATGTCATGCGCGTGTTCACTTCTGCTAGAAATAGTGAACACGCAAAAGCTACCTTCTTGCGCATGTTCACTTTTGTGGATAATAGTGAACACGCGCAGCTACTCTTCTTAGAAGACTCTCTGGAACGCTCACTTTTTCCAGAAAAAGTGATTACGCAAAAGCTCTTCTCATTGCAACCTCTCTGGAACAATCACTTTTGCCAGCAAAAGGGATTACGCAGAAGCTCTTCTTCATTTTATGGTTCTGGAGTGATCACTTTCACCAGCGAAAGTGATCACTCAGAGCCTGTTCTTCAATTATCAACTTCTTTCCTCCAATTTTTGCTACTTTTCTTCTATTTTTCCTTTGATCATCCAATCCTCATGAACTTAGCTCAGAATTCCCTACAAAAGCATACTTGAAATGTCACTTTTTACATAGAAAATCAATGAATTTTAAAATAACTATGTTTAAAAGTGACATGCAACATTTTATTATTTTTTTAAGGGTTTTCTACTATTTCTAGAATGTTTTCTTTATTAATTACACTAAAAACTATTGTAAAATACTAGTAAAATATGGATTCATCAGTCACCACTACCCCCTCTTTCCCAAGGTATTTCTATTGCTCTCATCTTCCACACCCCTAGTGTATTGTTGAACCATTCATAGCTTTTCACGTATTCAAACACAATTACAATCACAATCAACATGCCATTTCCATCGATATTCAACCATTCCACATTGTTCATCATTACCAAATGGCATACAATCACATTCAATCACGTCATAGTATTTACACTTACACACAGCACGTATGCCTACATTCAATCACACTAAACTCAAACATTTCATCACACACAAGTCCAATATTCATTCACATTATATTATACCCCAAATTTTCATCAAAATCCAGTCACAACTAAATCATTCTCACCAAATACACATCATCCTACGTTTTATTCTAATCACATTACAATATCCAACATAATAAACAAATTCTAAGTAAAACAAGATAAGGTAGAGTCTCTCTTACCTCAAATTGAAGACCTAACACGAAATCTATGATGAAAGTGTTCCCCACACGAACTTTCGTCCTAAGTATAGGGGAAACAATGAGAAACCGAGAAATCAAGGAAAGGGATAAAAACCCGAAAATCCTAACTCACAAACTTACCTCCAAACGTGACTCCAACCTTCGATCTAGCTCACAAATGGCTTTGGAGGCAGTTTAATCGGTAAAATAGGGTGAAGGGTCAAGAGAATTGAAGAGCTTTTGAAGAAAGGAAAGGAAAAAATGAGTTTCCCAAACCCTAACCCCTTAAATCCCCTTCTGATCGTGACACTCTCGCTACAACGAGATATTCTCGCTGTAGCGAGACATATCTCGCTACAGCAAAATCTCAGATGATTCTGCACTCTGTTTTCCGCATAATCTCACTACTGCGAGATTGCACCCAGAAATGCACCATCACTGTCATCCTCTCACTGCAGCGAGGAAACTCTCACTACAGCGAGAATGTGACAATTTCACCCCTTTTCTCCCAATACCTCCTGTTACAGCAAGAACGACACATTTTTATGCTTTTCGCCTAAGGCCTTCTCGCTACAGCTAGAACACCCTACAACACACACTTAGCCTATTTTCAATTCAGCCCAGTCACATTCAACAATTTTAGTTCAACCATAAACCAACACATATGCTCATACTCATATTCACACATTCATATAAGTCCACATCATCACATATATATTCTCATCACCATATATATATATATATATATATATATATATATATATATATATATTAAACACATGAAATTTCACATATACACTTATATTAATATATCAAAATATTATTACAAAAATCTGAGGCGTTACAGAAATTTCAATCTATTTTTTAAACATATCAAAGAGCCGAGTTTAGAGCTAATTTTATACACTTCTAACACGATTTGTAACATATATTTTTAAAAAAGTATTTTTAATGTATACATAATAAAAATTAATAAACAATAATTTTTATTAAAATATTTAATATTTATATATGAAATTTTATGATATCTTATTTTTAATAATAAATTTATCATATATAATTTTTATCATATATTATTTACTTACGTTAAAAAACATGTTTTAAAATGTGGGACAATTATAGAACAAAATTACAATGAATCATCAAGTTTGGCGCAATACTATGGAGTTTTGGGTCAAATAATTTTTACTCACTACTTAATTTTCTTCTTAAAATTTTGTTTGAAAGTTTGGAGAGGGAGACAGAGGAAGGATATGAAGGCAGAAGGAGGTTAAACCTCTTCTTTATTTAGATTTTTAATACTGAGATGAGGAAAAATAGGTTTAATTATATAATGATATTATTATATCTTTTATTCATATTTATTTTATTTTAAAAAAAAAATAAAAAAATTTCTTTCTCTAAAAATTAATATTTTTATTTTTTATAAATTTTTTTAAAAAAATCTCATTTAAAAATCTAACATTAAATAAATAAAAAAGTTAAAATCCTAATTATAAAAAAAATACAAAAAAGTATGAGAGAAAAAACTTCTAAAAAAATTCTGTATTAATAGAATTCAATAAACTAACGTTAATAAAGTTTTGGAAGATTTAAAAAAAACTTTCAAACCCTTCACTTCCTAACTAGTAACTTTTAAATAAGAATTAATTTTTCTTAAGGCTTCTCTCTTCTCTTAAATATAACTGCCAAACATACATAAAGGTAAATCAAATCATTTTCTTGTATGAATTAAATTACGTTCGCCGGCCGAAAAAGTAAAAGCACAAGTATCTACAACAAATAAAAAAAGACATATATTTTTGTCAATCAGGGTTTAGGTCTTGAGCAAAAGGTAAAAAAAAAAACGAAGTCCGTTAACAGTTTGGGCTCATGGGCTCGCCCATTCTCAGAAATCGCAATTCGCTGAAATTCATTAACACAGTTGCTACTACCCAGTTTCTTGTCTCTTGGTGTGTTGAATGTTCTTGTAGCTCTTTTGCGGGAGAGTGAAAGCGCACTTGATTAACACAGGATGGTAAAATCGGTTCTACATGGTGCCATTTGAACACTTTAGATATCGTTGTTTTTCATTTGAACTTTTTTAATTGTGAATCTTCTTAACAGGACTTTCAGGGATTCCTCAACGATTTGCAGGATTGGGAAGTTTCTAGAAAGGATAAAGCACGAACAACGAAGTCAAAAAATGTTGGTAATTTTATCTTAACCTTCAGAACTTGCAATCATCATCCAAATGCGACTCTATGTTCTACGTTTGAGTATACTCCAACGGCCTCTTCAATTCAGCCACTACATGTTACACAGTTCTTTTTCCCTTTAATTTGTGGATGGAATATGAATGGAGCATCAACAACCAAAAATTTACTCTGTTTGACTAGTTCATCCGCTTTTCAAATGGTTGTGTTTAGTGATACTGTTTTGAAATCGGTAGGATTTTTCTTCTTTATATAAGGAAGAACGGTGAACATTTACAAAGGAAATAAGAAATCTTTTAGTGCCAGAAGGATCGGTTCAGATAACTGGGTTCAAAGTTGCACTGTTTATTCATATAAGTCAAAAAGTCTATAGCCTATTATCTGTTTGTGGTATATCGGAAGCATATTCACTATACTAGGTTTTTCTTTGATTTTCATGCTTCCTTTGTACATGAATGGTGTCTTGAAAAGTCAAAGGACCCCCTGAATATGTATATATTGCATATCCTAAATATGTATGTGCTGGTGTATGTATGGATGAATTAATGCATTTGTGATGTATGACATTCTGATGGCAATTCACAAAGGGTTCATCTTCTCGACATACTGGATCAGTGGGTGTGGAGAAGGCATCAAGAGGGGATACTATTTCATCAGGGCAGTATGATTTCTCAAGAAATAACGATCCTTTCAATCGTGTCCGTAGTAGTTTTGTTCATGACGATGTTCCTGATGCTGCTTCTGAGAAAGACCTGGTAGGGGCTCTTTTTTTTTCCTTTGTTTCGGTATTAGGGTGACAGGCTAGAGGTGAATTGATCTGTGAGGATATTATGGATTGATTTTTGTGTTGCTGTCCTGTATGATGCTAACACTCAATCCATCTCCTGTATATTCCAGGGTAATGAGTTTTTCAAGCAGAAAAAGTTTAAGGAAGCTATTGACTGCTATTCAAGGAGCATTGCCTTATCACCAACAGCTGTAGCATATGCAAATAGAGCAATGGCCTCTATCAAGCTCAGAAGGCAAGCTTAAATTTTTGCTTTAAGAATTATGCTTTAATCATCAAAATATTCATAAAATGGTGCATTTTGTCTATAGTGGGATTTTAAATAAAAGGAAGTGAGTTTTACATTTACTGTCAAGTGTTATGTGGTCTATCATCTGATGAATTCTCTTAAAGGACACTTCTTTTTCCAAAGGTGATATGTTTCTTTCCTCACCTATTTATGTCACTAGATTCCAAGAAGCTGAGGATGACTGTACGGAGGCCTTAAACCTTGATGATCGTTACATAAAAGCATACTCACGCCGAGCAACAGCTAGAAAAGAACTTGGGAAAATTAAAGAATCGATGGAGGGTGTGTTAATACCCGAACCATACTTGTCTGTTATCCAAATGTGAAAATATTCTAATATTTGAAATTTGTTGGCTGTCTCATTTGCTTAAATTGCAGATGCTGAATTTGCCTTGAGGTTGGAACCTAACAATCAAGAAATCAAGAAACAGTATGTTGATGCTAAATCTTTGTATGAGAAAGTAAGCACATCAATAGTTCCGGTATTATTATAAATGTTTACCACCAAAAGTCAATTTTTAACAACTGTTTGCTATTTTTTGTGAGCAATGCCATAAGGGATGCTTATTTTGGGTTACGTGGAAATTTTAGTTTCAATTGTGATGGTACAGTACTTACTACTTAGTACTTACACCCATTTATGTACTGGCACCTACAGCAAAGAAGATTTAATAGTAGAAGAAAGCCCAAAAGATGTAGCACAAAATCAAATGGGTTGATGCCTTGAAGTAAGGTTTTAGAATTGTAGAACCTTAGAATAAGTGAAATCAGGATGGAGCAAAGAATGAGGTTTGCTATACTTTAGAGATATAATGAGGTGGTAATATTCTTGAAAGTAGTGGTTTGGAAATGTAGAGTAAACTAATGAAAATGATAAGAGTGTTGAGCATGAATCTTATAAAAAAAATTATTGCTGCATGAACAAAAAGAGTAGATGTAACTGTTTTCCATGACTGAAAGAATCTGTTGATGGAAAATAGTAAATTTTGAAGTCTCCTGTTTGTTAGTGTATATTGTGTTTCATGTGGCCTGCTCCAAACATTTTGTTAATACTGGTAGACTTGCTGATCCAAATGTTGTTTTGGATGGCTCCTAGATGGAGAATGCTTCACAACTTTATAACTGTAGACCTAAGACCACTAGATCGTAATTATAACTAGGAGGGAAACATGCAGATGAAGAGGGAAGGTTTGTTATAGAGAGAGCGTAGGCAAGAAAATGTCATTGCAGTGTGTTATTAACTGCTCTTGTTTCATGTCTAACTTTTTTCCCCCTTGGTTCTTTTTTGCAGAGATTAATGTTTTTGTCAAATGCGATTGTCCAGGATATTCTTCAGAAAGCATCTGGAGCTCTCAGAAGCGCTGTACAGGGAACACAAAAAATTGTAAAGTCAGAGTCAAAAGTTAATGGAGGCAACATCCACTCCATTTCACATGGTACTCAAAAGTCAGGGCCAGCTGAAGTTCATCATCATACAAAGGTCAAAGTGTAGTGTTCAAAATCTCATTTCAAGATATATTGTTATCTAATGGATGAGTATTGAAGACTACTTCAATTGGCGTTTTTCATGTAAATAGTCCACCCTAAATTTTGGTTATGTCTTTGACAGGTTAATGAGCGGAAAATACCTGTTAAAGAATCATTCTTGATGGAGGAGATTGATAGCAGAGATACAAAAGCCAGAAGCAAGACTCAAAAACAAGAAGGCGATGGTTCTAAGCAAGATTTGAATCCAAGCAACAGTTTGGAGCAGGTTAAGGTTTATCTTGAAATCCTTCCCTCTTGTGAACTAATCTAGTTCCAGGGCATATTATAGTCCTGTTTGGGTGCATTATTTATTTATTTTTATGTTTAGAAGCACAAAGAAATATATTTTTTAATGCTCTTCACAAGTTCATTTAAATGTGAATTATCTATACTATATTCTTTTGGAGCTTTATTTTAAACTCATCTCTTTATTTTTGCTGCTTTATTTTTATACTCAGAAAGTAACGGAATAAAATAAATTTTAGGGTTTTTGAACTTTTAAATGATATTTTCAAGTTTTTTTTTTACTGCAAAATGATATTTGGTTTTACCTTACATTTATATTATTTTTATTGTTCTTTTGCTTCTTTTTTATGCACTGTGCCTATTCCTGTTGTACATGATTTTATTTGCTTGTTTTTTCACAACAGAGAAATCAGAGAATTACTACACAGGAAACGAAAGCATCTGTTCAACAGCTTGCTTCTGATGCAGCTTCTCGAGCCATGGCTGAAGCTGCAAAAAACATGACACCACCAACTACAGCTTATCAATTTGAGGTCTCTTGGAAAGCATTTTCAGGTGATCTTGCATTGCAGGCTCGCCTATTAAAGGTATACATTTTCTTTTGTTCATTTGTAATTTTATTATACTGCCAGTATCAAGTATTCGCCAATCCCTAGAGCCAATGACATTTTATGTGAAATTTCTGATATTCAGTTCTCTGCTTCATGTTGTAATGAGCTGTTTCTTTTTGTATGTTAGGCCATATGTCCCCATGAATTACCAAAAATATTCAAAAATGCCTTATCTTCTACCATGCTAGTTGACATCATCAAGTGTCTTGCATCCTTTTTCACGTAAGTAGTCATCTCCAAAATAGAAAAAATATATTTTATTCTTTTGACTTCTGTTTGAGCTTTAATCATATTATTGAATTTTCTCTTTTGGCAGTGAAGACATGGATCTGGTTGTCAGTTATATGGAGCATCTGACCAAGGTACCAAGATTTGACATGATTGTAATGTGCCTTTCATCAACAGATAAGGATGGTATGTATTTTTTTCAATGTATTTTGTTTAGTAGTAAAATTCTAAGTGTTTCTGTTACCAAACTTTCTGAAATCTCTTGAAAGTTTAAAGGTTTTAGAAGATAAACATGTAAAGGTAGAAGAAAGATGAAGGATAAGTAGGTAGAATAGGAGGAATAAGGGTCTCCTATTTAAAAGCAGGAGATGGTTAGAGAAGATAGGGATGAACATACAAACTCTATAACACCTTTCCAGAAGCAAACAAGTTATAGCCCATTGCATGTGGCTACCACATTGTGGAGTTTATGGAGGGCTAAATATACCCATTCTTGTGGACAGAAATTTTGTTTCTGCAGCCAGAACTGCTGACCACCAGCCCATAGTAATGATTTCACCTATTTAAAATTGCAGTAGAAATTCTATAATTTATTCAGACATTTGTGATGGTTTATGACTAGGATAAGCCAAACTAGTAATGGATATGCATGGATGACCAGGACATTTCGTAGGTAGATATCAAAGTTTTAGTGCAAAAGCAACTATGTTCTTGTAATATAAGAGAACCTAACATTTATAGATTATGTAAGTCTTTGAAGTTAAAAGTAAGATGTTCTCTTGCAAGACAATAGGGAGTAGATAATTAATTGAATGCATTATAACCCATCACACTTGTATAATAATACAAAGTGCATCATTTAACTTTAGACCTGTGAGAGAGCTTCCTTTGTTGACATGCTATTTGAAATAATGATCGTGCATGTTTATTGTTAAGAAAGATTTTAGCCCATGAACAGAGCTCAATCCAAAAACCATCCTACTGGGTGGGAGAGTTTCATGATTTAAATACCATCTTGAGCTTCCTTATTTACTCAAGTGGGACATAACATTTACCTCGCCATCTGTGAATTTTGTTATGGGTAAAGCAAATAATAAGTTATTACTTTTCCTTTTATTGGTATTGAGAAAGGATAAATCCAAGTTTGTTAAATCAAAAGTTGATGCATGGATGTCTGTTAAAAATTCCATAACATATACTTACTGGAGGCTATTTAATTTTGGAAAGAACATCAACATGTCTTCATTTGATTTGAGAACTTGATTTCAAGAACAGAAGAAACTTTATTTAAGTTTTGTCTTGTTAGTATATTTTTGGTTTGGCTGCTAAGTTGCTTACAAGTAAAATGAAAGGTTCCTTTAAGGTAGTGCTTGGCTTGCTATCTAACTTATATGGTAAATGTTGTAAAGGTTGTTGCCATGGTTGTCAATCTGATTGATCGAGTTGGTTACAATTTGTGTAGGCATACGAAAGATCTGGGATGAAGTGTTCTGTAGTGAGGCAACTCCAATGGAGTATGCAGAGATTCTGGACAACCTTCGATCAAAATTCTGCCGTATACAGTGACTTCTTCGCTTGTATGTTGTATTTTCTTCTCCTCTGTGGATATTCTTTCTTCCGCAATTTTCTTCACTTGTAAATTATTAAGCTATTGAAATGTTTGAGCATTATTGAGTCTCGAGTTGATCTGCCTTGAAGTGATTAGCTAAAGGTGGGAGGTAAAAGAAAAACGAAAAATCTTATATGAAATGCCTGGGGCTCAGGGTCCAGTATGTTTTAATGCCTTTTACTGCGTTTGAATTCAAGCTATTTCGGCTCTGTTGCTAGGGCTTTTACGGATTTAAAATACGTTCATATTGTTGTTAATTATTTCAATTAAAAAATTGGATGAATTGGATGCTTGCATTCGTTGCATGGAGTCTGCTGGATAGATAGGAGGCGATTGCTTTCTTCACCTTTTCATGACACAATCCCTTAATATTTTTTTGTAATATTGTTATAAAAAAGCCCTTTAATCGATTTCAGAAAGCTGTGTTTCTGGAATTCATTGCTCCATTCTCCAAATTTTGTTTTCCAGCCAAGCGAGCAATCACTTCTTTTGAAGAAAAGAATAAACGTAACAAAGCCAATGCCTGCAAATAATCAAGTTTGTGTTGAAGTAATTCTTCTAACTAGTTATCAAGGAAGAGGAAAGAGAATAAGAAACTAAACACAGATGTTCCATTCTCCTTAATCTTGTCAATATTTTGATTATTTGTGAATTGTGTGTCCTACAATTTTGAATCTTACATTTTGATTTTGTTGATCACGGGTGGTGTGTTGTGTGATAAGATATAGGTGCTGCCCATTATGATTAGGATATTAAAGGGCTTTTGGCATTATGGTAATGGGTAATTTTGTAAAACGATTATAGAAAAAATGTCAAAAGTAAAAATGGAGATGTAAAATGTAATCCCCCAAATTAGATTACAGAAAAGCTCGGCCCACTTCCATTAGGGCAGGACCGTTTTTACTTGCTGTCTTGCAGGTGGGACCATTAGGCTGCTGGCCCTGTACAAGTGGGCCGGTTTGTTTTTACATTTTCATGAAGATTTATTTTGGGTCCATTTTCATCAAGATTATTTTGTCAAATTTTCATGTCTGAGGTCCACAACCGTCAATCCTTGAAGTTTTGAGTGATGAAACCCCAAATGGGTGTCAGCCTGTCATTACTGCACTTGCCAGGTTCATGATTAAGTGAAAGGAAGTAGGATCTTCTTGGACCCGTGGTAGTGTGCTTGACTGATTAGTCACCAAAAGATGTTGAAGCCTCTTGACCAATACACGTTATTTTTAGGGCTAAATGATTAAAATAATATTTTTTTAAAAACTAATTATCAAAATAAATTAAAACTCAAACTATTTTCCTGTCTTGAGCAAATTTTTTTCAACCTAGCACTAGTTTCATATAAAAGTAAGACAAAATTAATTTTTAGTTATTTTATTTAACTATTTCATCTAAAAGTAGAACGAAACACTCAATTAGACACGTGTTAATTTCGATGAAACTAGGATGAAACTTTAGGATGTTAACATGTGTCCGTATTTTGTTAAATTTGTCCTAATTTTGGACGAAATCACAGGATGTTGAGTTGTGGTACAATTTTGTTAATTTCATCTTGATATTGGATGAAATTACATGTAAATTTGTCTCACTTTTGGACGAAACCACAGGATTATAAAACGTGGCACAATCTTGTTAATTTCATCTTTATGTTGGACGAAATCATATCTAAATTCGTCTTCATTCTAGATAAAATTCATTTAGACCCGTGGTCCCTTGCATACTGATGCCCTCAAATATCCAGCAAAATTATAGTATATCATGTATGTGGATGGGATCCAAATTGAAGTGCAAAAGTGTTTATAAACGTTCGAAGACTTGTTCTTCTCCAAGTTAGTAAATTTTGGATATTTTATGAGTTTTTTTGTTATTAATGAATTATTAAAATTATAGAAGTTAGGAGATAGTTAATATTAACTTGTGTAATAAATAAAAATGATCTTATATTTGTTGTAAGAATTTATTTTATATATGTGAAATATGTATAAAAACTATTAAAATATTTGTAATATAAAATGATGTAAATGTAGTAATATGTTTGTGTATGTCAATAAAAATTTAATAATTTATTATTTATATTAATAAGTATAGTTAAAATTGTTTATTGATATTTCTTTTTTTTTATAAATGCAGGATGAGTGAGATTATTATTATTATTATTATTATTGTTGTTGTTAGAAAAATATGATAAAGATAAGAAGAGGGATAAGTTTTATGAATTTAAAAAAAAAAGATTCATGACAAGTTGAATCTTAATAATAATCATTCCTTATCTAGAATAATCTCTCGTTTTATGGTTGATTTAAGCGTTAAACAATACACTACATTAGATATATGTGATGATGAAGACATTGATTATATGATTAATGCGTATTAACAACAAAGTATTACAACTGTTATTAAATTATATGTAGAGATTGCATTTGGTGAGAGTTCAAGAGGTGGGTCAAATATGTTGAACTTAAGCTTATCAATGTCACCGCCTAACCTTATGGAAATGACGAATATAAATATTACAGAAGGTATAAATTAAAATATAATTTTAATATTTTTTAATTTATAGTGACTACACATATTGAATAAGTGTATGTATTTTGAAGTATGTGCAGAATTATGCAGTTATGAAGATGAAGATGAAGATGAAGTCAATAGTGATTATGATGATGATAATGATATTGATGAAGGACATATTCCGTTAGACAGCTCATCGGGCACAGATGTAGATAGTGATTTTGATTCAAACTTAAATTTACAACAAGAAAGTATTGGAGGTAATATTTATAGAAAATATTGATTAAATTATTTTTTTATGGAAGAATATTTACTATTTATATATAGTTGTAGGTGAAATACCTTTTTGGAATATAAGTCCACGCTACAATTATATTAATTGGGACCACCCAGACTAAGAAATTGAAGCTGAAGAAATTAGTAATGACAATTCATGGGTTATTAGAGATGTGTTACATGTGGGTTTATTATTTGAGTCGAAAGAGGAAGTTAAAAATGCCTTAAAACAGCATGCAATGAAAATACATCAAAGTTATTATGTTGTTGAGTCAAAACTAACAAAGTTGTATGTGAGGTGTTTAAACCATAACAATGGTTGTCCTTAGAGAATAAGAGCATCATTGCTTAAAAATGCAACAAAGTGGAAAATAACAAGGTGCGGGGGTAAGCATACGTGTCTCAACCCAACAATATCTCAAGATCATACGAAGCTAGATTCAGATTTGATTTGTTCATGCATCATAGGTAAGTTTTGCAAAAAATCTTATTTCGTGAAGGCTTTTGACAATAAAGGGACTAACCTCTTTTGTTTTTTGTTATGTAGGTATGGTAAATCTTGAACCATCATTGCCTATAAGTTTAATTTGAGAAAGGATGACAAGACAATTTGGATATAAAATTTCATACAAGAAAGCTTGGAAGGCAAAACAGAAGGTGACTGTAAGAATATTTAGTAACTGAGATGAATCATATGCTACTTTGCCAAGATGATTAGAGTACATGAATTTCATGCTCCAGGATCTATTTATAAGATTGAAACAAAACCATTTGTTGCTGGTCATCATGAGGATAACAGATTTAGAGTATTTGAGCGATTGTTTTGGTGTTTTCATCAATGTAAGGAAGCATTCAATTATTGCAAACCAATTGTTCAGGTAGATAAAATATTTTTGTATGGTAAGTATCGTCACACATTGTTGATTGCAACAATACAAGATGGGAATAATTGTGTCCTATCAATTGTTTTTGCAATTGTTGAAGGAGAGACTCTGTCAACATGGGAATGATTTTTTACAATGATTCGTGTGCATGTAACAACAAAGTCTGATTTATGTTTAATATCTGATAGACATCAAAGCATCAAAAGTGCTGTTGCGAACCCACATATTGAATGGTAACCTCCTAATGCATATCATGTTTATTGCATTCGTCATATAGCAAGCAATTTCAATCATAGATTCAAGAACATTGATTTGAAAAAACAGCTGACGAAATTAGGTAAGATGACTCTATTTTTTATTTTGGTGTTCTCTTAACTTATAACGAAGTTTTTATTTCAAGTAATAGTTGAATAATTATTATTTGCAGCGTATATACCTTCAAGAATTGTATTCGAAGAGAAGTTGAGAAGATTTCGCAATGAATCACCAGAAATACAGAGGTGGATCGACAACATATCGAAGGATAAATGGGCTTTGAGTCATGATGACGATGGACGTCGTTATGGGCACATGACTACAAATTTGTTAGAGGCTGTTAACCAAGTTTTAAAGGGAGCAAGAAACTTACCTATAACTGCTCTGGTCAAATGCACTTACGGACAGATGGTTCAATATTTTGTGAAGTGTGGAGAGGACGCTTTGAATGACCTGAATGCTGGTAAGAGGTTTTGTTCAAAACTTATGCTAAAAATGCAGTAGAATTAAGAAGTAGCATCTTCACATCAAGTGAGACGATATGATATAGAAAGAACAAGATTTGAGGTTGAAGAGGCCTGCAATCCTATCACGCAAAGGGATGGAAACAAGTGGACTGTTGTTCTGTGTAGAAGATACTGTGAATGTGGGAGATTTCAGGCATATCGATTTCCATGTTCACATGTAATTGCTGCTTGTGCATCGGTAAGTATTGACTTTTGGCAATATGTTGATAATGTTTACTCTGTACAAAATGTCATCAACGCATATTCATCACAATGGTTCCTCCTGGAAGATGACAGTAATATGCTTACATGTAGTGAGTGGAAGTTAGTTCTTGATGAAATGAGAATCAAAAGTAAAGAAAGACCAAAATCAACTAGAATTAGGAACGAAATGGATTGGGTTGAGTCACAAAGTAGACAAAGATGTAGTAATTGTTATCAAATTGGTCACAATATGCGTCAATGTACTTCTATATCGCCTAACCAGTAGTATAGAGGCCTTTATGTATGAAATCGTATGGTGTATAATGTTATTAATCATCATGGTTTTTCATGTGTTATTTATCATCATGGTTCTTCGTGTGTTATTTATCAGTATAGTTATATACGAAGTCGAACGGTGAATGCATTTAAACGAAGTAAAATATGTCATAGAAACATAAAAATCAATTTTCATTATATATATGTACAAGAAATGGTCTTGGTGTT